AAGATCCCATACAAAGCTTTTTTTATTTATCTTTTGCAATAAAAACTGGGCGGGTGCTACTCCACCTGACCCTATGGATCAGTCTCTACTATATCTCACTTTTTCATACACCATACCGATTCTATGATACATAACACCTCCAATTATAACTTTACTGACTAGTATGTGAAGACATTTCTACTATAATATAGGTGATACAGTTATTACTATAGGGACAATATAGGGTTCGTAGTTGATGAATCTCAGCACAGTATCTTCATAATGGAATATTTAAGAGTTAAACTCTATAGAAACTACGAAATATCTGGTATATAATAGTATGAAGTTGTTTGGTACGCCCATACCCAAAACTCATGATTAAGGAATCATAACAATTCAACCCACAGTTTAATCAGAAAATTACTTCTGTGGATACCTTTTGTAGAAATCTAATCGAACCCATAAATGAACATTGTGAAATGTTTCCCACAGTAGATTGAAAGTTTCACCTATTGATATATTGGCATCATTATTATTTTTAAGTCTTCTTGTGCTAAATAAAAAGATCAACAAAATAAGTCAAGTCTGAATAGGCTTAAGGGTTGAAAGAGTATAAATCTGCAGGAAAAAAATGTTAACTGTCCCCATTGTTTTTTTTTTTAGAGGAAACATATTTTCAAGAGGGCAAAACATGTTCAAAGCCCTGCTAGAGGGAATGAGATGTAACACAGTCAGACCTTCAAAGGATAGGAAGAAAGGCATTGTGCATGTTTCCACACAAATTAGATGTACAGCTTTGAACTGCTTACCCTAGTGATGGCTAACTGTGCGAAACACATGTTTGTAAAGCACATTTTCCATGATACTCAGCCAGCATAGAGTGTAAGCTCATTGGATTAGGGCCTTCTCCCAATATCATTCCTCTTTCCATTAGTTTATCTTTTGTAATGTATTTGCTGTTTTATGAATAATTTCTGTGATTTTTTTTTTCCCCCGAGAGAGCATCATGCATTTTGCAAGAGATACATAGGAATGTAGTGATAGATATCACTCCATTCAGAAGCGATGTGTTGGCATTATTGGGGACAACTGGCCTGCTTTGGCAAGGGGAGCTGGAGATAGAGGGGATCAGGATTTGGGGTTTACCCTAGTGTAACACCAACAAGCCAGAATCATGGCAGCCACAACTACACATTTAAGTAGCTACAGTATATACTCAAGTATAAGTCTAGTTTTTCAGCACATTTTTTGTGCTTAAAAACCCCCACTCGACTTATACTCGAGTCACTGTCTGTATTATGGCAACTTAGAGAGCCGCGGCCGTCAGAGCCATGGCAACGATCCGCGCGGCAACCAGACCGCAAGACTTACAGTGGAGCTGACCAGAACGGAGGAGAAGGGAGCTGCAGGAAAGGTAAGTAAATGCTTCCTGCCGGCCCCCCCACTTCACAGCCCATGCCACTGGACCACCAGGGATTAAGATAGCCCCCCTCCCTGACCAGTTAACAAGCAGGGAGGAGGGACAATTTTTTTTTTAAATAATAAAAAAATAATATTAAAAAAAAAAATTTAAAATAATAAAATGCCCTCCCCCCACCCAGTTCACACACACTACACAGAAACACACACTCTGCATTATAGCACACACTCTGCATTATATACACAGAGAGGCAGCTTTATTTAGCTCTGCACAAAATACCTGTAATTTCTAAAAACAAGGTGTGTAGAGACTATGGACTCAGTCAGTCTAATTTCTCTGTCTCGTTCGAACAGCAGCGCAACTCCCATCATCCTCATCTCAAAAAATACGTTTTTAAACAAGGCAAATCGAGACTGAGGGCAGCAGCTCCCTTTTTGCCCCTCTCTATTGATTGGTCGGAGAGATGAAAACTCCCACCACACTGAACCAAGCCCCTTTTTTAGATCTTTTTTTTCTAGTCTTATGCACACATCGAGAAGAGACAGATCAATGGCTTCTTCCAATTCATTTCTGAGACAAACTTGGCATTGCAAATCTCATCAGGCTGAGCCAGCCACTGCACTCTCCTCTCCTGTGCTGGCTCAGAGGCGGCTCTGCCCTTCCAACCTTGCCATGAAATTAGGTTCAATTTCCAAAATACATTCAGAAAGCAGATAAATCTTGGAGATAAACAGGATTTTTATTTGTTTTAATACGTCAATTAGGCTGCTCCATTACTTACAAATATTTGATCTCGGTGACTCGTACAAAGCAGCGATCGAAGCGGAGATAACTCTCAGTAAATAATTGAAGAAGGAAAGTTCGCTGCATTTAAAGGATTTCTTTAATTCCTAGTAATAACAAACTTAAACACTACGAAGTAACTTGGCACAACGCGTGGTACAAACTGCAGCTATTCCTCCACAATTCACTGCTCAATGAATAAACCCCGACTGTATCCATCCACTTGTAGTCTGTCTATATCGTTATACTGACTTTATCCGTGACCTCCTCTCTCTGTTACCCCTCGTACAGTCAGTCTCCTCCCAGCACCCCAGTTACCCTCTTACTCTCTGTGTTACCCGCCTGTTACCCCTCGTACACTCAGTCTCCTCGCAGCGCCCCAGTTACCCTCTTACTCTCTCTGTGTTACCAGCCTGTTACCCCTCGTACAGCTAGTCTCCTCCCAGCACCCCAGTTACCCTCTTACTCTCTGTGTTACCAGCCTGTTACCCCTCGTACAGTCAGTCTCCTCCCAGCACCCCAATCACCCTCTTACTCTCTGTGTTACCAGCCTGTTACCCCTCGTACAGCCAGTCTCCTCCCAGCGCCCCAATCACCCTCTTACTCTCTGTGTTACCAGCCTGTTACCCCTCGTACAGCCAGTCTCCTCCCAGCGCCCCAATCACCCTCTTACTCTCTGTGTTACCAGCCTGTTACCCCTCGTACAGTCAGTCTCCTCCCAGCGCCCCAATCACCCTCTTACTCTCTGTGTTACCCGCCTGTTACCCCTCGTACAGTCAGTCTCCTCCCAGTGCCCCAGTTACCCTCTTACTCTCTGTGTTACCAGCCTGTTACCCCTCGTACAGTCAGTCTCCTCCCAGCGTCCCAATCACCCTCTTACTCTCTGTGTTACCAGCCTGTTACCGCTCGTACAGTCAGTCTCCTCCCAGCGCCCCAGTTACCCTCTTACTCTCTGTGTTACCAGCCTGTTACCACTCGTACAGTCAGTCTCCTCCCAGCACCCCAGTTACCCTCTTACTCTCTGTGTTACCAGCCTGTTACCCCTCGTACAGTCAGTCTTCTCCCAGCACCCCAATCACCCTCTTACTCTCTGTGTTACCCGCCTGTTACCCCTTGTACAGTTCGCGCTGTCGAGTAGCCGATTTTAGTTCCAGGCGCTCAACGGCAAAACACCGCTGGGCTAACAAAGGATCCAAGATGGCCGACCGCCGCGTGGTCGGTAGTCGAACGACGGCCACCTAGGGAAGCCTTTAACTACCGATTGCAACAATGTTGCAATCGCTTAATGGGCGCCACACGACCTCTTGTGTGTGGTCGACCATTCGGTAGTTTATTCATTTCATGAACAGTGTTGAAACTCACTGTTCGTGAAACTACATTAGGAATGCTGGGTTTTCCACATTGCAAGCGTACGAATGCCCTCATTCGTCTGAAAGCCACATACAGTATTACACTTGGTTCTCACAGCTGAAACAAGGATATCCACACATGCATTATATGAATAGTCTTAAGTGGCTAGTTTTGCCACAATTATTATATTATTTATATAGCGCCATCAAATTCCGCAGCGCTTTACAACGAGTGGACGAACAGACATGTAGTAGTAACCAGACAAGTTGGACACACAAGAACAGAGGGGTTGAGGGCCCTGCTCAATGAACCTACATGCTAGAGGGAGTGGGGTAAAAAGGTAAGGATAGTATTAGACTAATGACAGTTGCAAGAGAGGAATCAGTTGGGAGCTGTTAACAGTTTAATTGATATGCTTTTATGAAGAAGTGGATTTTTAATGATTTTTTGAAGGAGTGGAGACTGGGTGAGCAACGGAGGAGGGAAGCGAGTTCCACAGAAACGGTGCAGCCCTCGAGAAGTCTTGAAGGCGAGCATCAGAGGTGGGAGTATGGACAGAAGATAGATGTAAGTCTTCAGCAAATCGTAAGGGCCTAGACGGGACATACTTTTGTATAAGGGAGGATAGATAGGTGGGAGCAGCATTATGTAGAGATTTGAAAGCAAGAACCAGAATTTTAAATTGAGCTCTATATCTTACAGGAAGCCAATGTAGGGACTGACAGAAGGGTGAGGCATGGGAGGTGCGGGCGGACAGGAAGATGAGCCTCGATGCCGCATTCATTATGGACTGTAACGGCGCAAGTTGGGAGCACGTAAGACCACTGAGAAGCGGATTACAGTAGTCAAGGCGAGAAAGGACAGTGGAATGGACCAACACCTTAGTTGCATCTGGCGTTACGTATCATCCTCTGACTGTTAAAAAAAAAGTTTCAAAATGTATTCATGTTTGGCCAGTTTAAGTGTAGAAGGATAGTTTCTGGAGTAAAATTTATGTCGATATTTGTATTTCTTTTTATGTAATAAACTATTTTTTTCCAAATAATAATAATTTCACAACAGCTCCACCATATGTGGATTAATGAACCATTAGATTTGTTACATCTCCAACACGGTGGTGATTGATTATCATACATTTTTGCTAATCGTGTGGATACTAGATACCACCTATACATGACTTTGAAATGGGTTTCCAGCCAGTTTATATATTGTATAACCTTCCCACACCTTGCCCAAACTGTGTTCCAGCTTTCGATGTCTATATTAGATTTTATATCCTTTTGCCATACTTGTTGTTAATTTATCTAGTGAGAGGAGGATCCATTCCTTTTGATATTACCTTATTTACTGGTTCATGTTTAATAACGGTGAGACGTTTATCTATTATAATTGTTTTTTTGTTTTAATAAGTTTTTATTTATACATTTTTTTATCCCTAAATAATTGAAGATATGTGGTAGCTGAAATTATTGTCTTAATTGTGGGAATTAAGATTTTACTTCATATAATGATATAATTTGAATACCCCTCCGTCTCCACTGACCAAAAGACCAGGACTGGTGGGGGTTATTCTGGTCCAATTTGCTCCAACCCACATACCTCCGTGGTCTCCAAAGGCTGGCACAAGTCCCAACCAAGCACAACGCCTGCAGGCCGCTCGCCACTTTAAAATTGCGAATGTGCAATCCAACGACGTATATGTGTCTCTGGAATACCGTTACAGCACAACCGAGCTTATGATCACCCGCTTGAACACGCTATTTGACAACTTCTGGGCACGGATTGAGGCTTGACACACTGCCGCACAGACACAGCAGTAGGAGAGCTGGAGCACTAAAAGTAAACAGAGCGGCAACAGCCGGAAAGGGACTGGGACACCCTCGGGCATTACCTCGAAGAAGCAGCCTGCCACTCACCGCATTATCCCATCTGGGCCAAAGGCCACTAGGGGAATGACCCCAGCGCATCTACCATGCAGGCGGAGGCATGCCCGCTGCAGGTGGCGCAACAACATCAAGGCCCCCCAGACCTGTCCCAACAGGGAAGTCCTGAGTCCGTGGGAACACAATGCCGGCCTTACCGCTGGCCCAAGGCTGGAGGGAAGAACCGACCTGCTCCTGGCTGTCTGCCAACGCCTGTAATTACCCGGTGCCACCGACACAGATCCCCCTGGAGGAATAGGATGACCCCCCGACTCACGGGCAGTCCACTTAACACTTATAAAAGGACTCTACCCAGTCACACATGGACGCTGGCCTATAGGTTCTGAAGCCTCACAATGATGCAGACCTCACATGTTTATGTATATGCTCCCTTACATAATGCTTGTCCATCTTAATTTGCTGACTATAATACAACTCAGCCAGCCATCAGGTTTTTACTCCTGTAACCTAACTCTTTAATTCTGTGACATGTCAGAAAGTTTAAACCTGTTTATGATATGTAAATGTGCTACTTTTTACTAGAATGTCAGTATACACGATACAGTCAGCGGCATTGATTTAATCAGCACTGTCTTCCATGTTTGATGTTGCCTTTCTGCTGACATATCAACCGTTTTGCCTTTAACCAAGCCTGAATATTATTATTAATAATTGTGCAGCCTTAACCTATACCATATATATGTTAGCCGTAAGTTGCTGGTACCTGCTATTGTGGCATTACCTGCATGTTTGTACTCTTTATGCACAAAAAAACAAAAAAAAAGTTGATTTGTCTTATTTTATTTATATCTCTTGCCAGTTTAATACCATTTTTACTTATCCAAGTGAAATTATATTTTGCTGTAATAATTTCTTTTGATGTTTTATCAATGTTTAAATCCATAATTTTGGTTTTGTCTATATTGATCTTGTAGTTTGCTACTTGTGAGTATTCCCTTATTTCTTTCATCAAATATTGTAATGAATTGATTGGATCTAAAATTATTATTAAAATGTCGTCCGCATATAGATTGATTTTTAATTCATTTCCCTTACAACCGAATCGTTTATTCATTTTTTCTTATTTTATTTGCAAAGGGTTCAATGGTCATAATATAGAGCAATGGAGATAGAGGGCAACCCTGTCTGGTCCCATTGCTAAGAGTAAACCAACTAGAACATAGGTTAGGGCCGACTATTCTTGCTGAGGGAAGTGTATATAATGCCATAATGGCGCGATGCATCCAGCCCTGAATCCCATTGTGATGCAATGTATGACTCATAAAGTCCCAACTGACCCTGTAGAAAGCTTTCTAAGCATCTATCGAGATATGAGTGGAAATTGATCATGACATCTCTTGAGTATTTTCCCGTGATATTTTTGAGTTTATATAGTCAGTGGCCTCTTTCCATTTTTAATTCATGAGTATCTGCATTTGGTAGAATACTCATATAATTCTGTCAAAAAGTCTCTCAGTTTCTTTTGGGGGACACTTTCTGGAATATTTCTGATTAGAAGATTGGATCTCCTTGCTCTGTCTTCTAGATCTTCTATTTTAGTTTCTAGACTTCCTGTTTTAATGGATGTTTGTTTCATGTCTTCTTTTAATTCATTATACTTAGTATCGATATTCGTAAGACTCTCTTCTAGTGAGAAAATCCGGTCAGACATTATTTTTAAATCTTTTCTAATTTTTGCTTCATTTCTCCTTTAAAAATTGGAGTCAAATTGTCTAAACATTGTTTTAAGAATTCTTGTGTTAAAGCCGAAATTTCTGATTGAGAGCCACTTTCTTGATAACTGACGTCTTGCATACCAGCTGTTTTAACTCTTGTTTTCTATACTTGATCCTTTAACGAGGTGGGGGAGAAAAACCCTGATAGTATTTTTCTGGTAAAGTGTCTTTTCTTTCCTTTTTTCTTTCGTTATCCATTGTTTTCCTAGTTGCCGTTACAGAGAGATTTTAGAGAGATTTGAATTTATTGCACAGCTGTGGTTTTCTTCCTCACCTTCTCCCCTTAATTTGTACAAGGGTTTTTTTCTCTCTTTTTTTCTTCTCTTTTCCCCTACTTTCCCCTTTTCTTTCTCTCCCCTTTTCTTCTCCCTTTCCCTCTTTTACCCCTTTCTTTCTCTTTCCTTTTAATTTTCCTCCCTCCTTATCTTCTTACCCTCTTTCTTTCTCTATTTCTCCCCCCCCCCATTTTTTCCTTTCTTTTTCTCTAGCTGTGTTTGTGTTAGACAAATATACACAAATAAATACAAGAGTATAATAAATCCAAAAAGCAAACAGGCACCAGCTCTCTTAACTTAAATTTAACTTAAAAGGTTTTTAGTACCTGTAGCGGATGGCATTGGGCTGTCCTAAAAATTAAGCAAACAGGCACCCCCCCATTATACAAGAGTATAATAAATCCAAAAAGCAAACAGGCACCAGCTCTCTTAACTTAAATTTAACTTAAAAGGTTTTTAGTACCTGTAGCGGATGGCATTGGGCTGTCCTAAAAATTACAGTTATTCCTATGTGTTCGGTTGAATTGTGACATATGGATGTGAAATGTATGCAGCATTCGTCTAATTGTTCGGTAGAATCACTCCAGTTATTATCAGAGTGAAACTATCGAAGAGTCAGACCACCCGAGTAGTAAGTGTGCCTCCAATTACCGTTTGCAACAATGTTGCAAACGGGTAATTGGCAATTTGTGTAGTGGGTTCTTTGTTCTCTGGGTGGCCGCCATTCGGGAGACGAACACGTTTCGGCAGCCATTTTAAACTCCCGAACAGCTGTGTTTTGCCGTCGAGTGTCTGGAACCCAAATCGGACACTCGTCTAGGCAAGCACCGCTGAGACCTCCACACTGCTGCCAATTCATGTAAAAACTACTTAACGGCTTCCCGTTCAGTAGAAAGAACCCCACGAACCAGGGGATTTACCCGAATCCTCCCCAGCTCTCATAACCCAATCCATTTGTGTGTTTCATTCCCTTTTCTGTGACCGACCGCAGGGCCAAAATACATGGAACCCTTTTCGGCTGTTAACCCCAGCGCGGTCGGTCTTTTTAGTACTTCCAGGAATTTCCCAAACCCCTGGTCCGATCTGGGTGATTTTTGGATATGTGTCTCACCCAGATCAGGGCTACCATATTTAAAGGGGTACCCCTATGTTTAAGGGTACATCCAGAAACCCAGGGAATTTGGATCCTGCATAAGGGGATTATGTGTCACACTAAGGGGAGGGAATGTGTGGGTGACAACTCATGTATGATTGGTGTATTCTGTAATTACTGTAAATCCCTCCCTTGCATGGGAGAATGCTTTAAAAGACGGTTGTGTGAATTAAAAGTTCAGTTCTGCTCCTGATGCTGTGTGTCGTCCAGTCATTGGGATTGATGTTGAGATATTGTTGGATTGTTTTGCCTGCTGGAATTATTGCCTTATGGATTTCTAATACTTGTTCCTGAGCCTCACTGGGATCTTAAGTGGAGATAACCTGTGAATAACAGCTCTCCGCTACGGTACCTGTTTATGTATTGTATAGAATAGGGAGTAATCATTTCAATAGCTTAAATAGCTAATAGAATAGGGAGTAATTATAGCTAAAAAGAAAGAGCTGACTTATCTCCCAGACTTTATGATCGTGCAGATCACCTCTGGAGTTTTGTTTAGTTTCGTTTCCTCTAGTGCTTCCTCTTCCACTCCACGTGCACATGCATGTCTTCACGCCATCACTTCCCCCCAGTTTCCACCACCACTTTTTTTTTTTTTCGTTTTGTCTGACCTTGCAAACATCAGAGAAACTCTACCGCTGCCTGTTCCGCTCCTAGACCAGCTAGGAGAGTGCTCTTCTGGAGAAAGATACCATTGACTAGAGGGAGCATTCGCTACCTAAAAGTCAGAGGAAGCCTTCACCAGTGTTGAACTTCCGAACATTGACCGGCCGTTGCCCCATTTTTTATAGAACTGTTCTTGGTTTCAACCTCTTGGCCGGCTGGTCAGAACTTTACCCTGGTGGCAATTCTCTTCTACCAAACGGATCTGAGCTTTAACATATACCCTCACAGGGTTAACACGTAACAATACATCCAATAAGAATGCTCTCTGTATCATAAACCCGCATGTGACCTAAGCCACTCCTCTTTCTTGTTGATGCCAACAAAAAACTCAGTTCAAGAAAACCTATGGTCAACTTGGAACCAAAACATCAACTCCTTGGGTAGATGAACTGGAACTTTGTGGGAGATGGGTCCTCTGTTAAAACATGAAAAAAACCAATGCACAACGGTGCCAAATCTGATTATGAGGCTGAAAGGAACAGAGAAACAACTGGTAAAATATGTTTTTGGACCACAAAATATATCCATACTACGTCATTAAATAGAGTAATAAATCCAAAGTAAGCAGAATCGTAACTTACAAGAACCCTCAATAAGTGCATACCCCATAGGATCATAATTCCATTAGCAAATAAAAGAAACATATGAGGGAGGGCGCCAACATAACTGCATGAGGTGGGATAATACTCGCCTCTGTGTCCTTAATAAAATCATGACTTTACGTCATGAAATTAGTAAAATCTGGTAATTTTATTAAAGGACACAGAGGCTCATATTATGCTAGTTCAAAGCTGTGAAACCACCACATCAGAAAAATTTGAAACTGGATGAAATTAAAATTCTCGAAAAGTGCATTCACAGGCCCAATCAGCAGCCCATAGGAGATCTTTTAACCTGCATCCCTTGGTGAAAGCTTTAGATGCCGTGGTTCCCCTGACAGAATGTGCCCCTGTGGCAAAAATGACCTCACCACTGGTTTTTGGAGGGGCCTGTTTGCCAGCCTCCTACCTTGTGACTATGGCCCCCATGATAAACCTATCTAAAATACTTTAAACATGCTCAGTTCATGTGAGTTATGTACTTTTGTACTCCAGACAGAGAGACTGACCGTTAGCCCTGATTCTATGGAACTGTTTTGGGCATGAGGCCATGCTTGCGGTCAGTCAAAACTATGACTTCCAAGAAATTCCTGAACCCCTGAACCGATCTAGGTGATTTTTAGATATGTTGTTCACCCAGATTGGGGCTATCAGGGGATGTTTTTTATGGGGATATGTTGTGTTTTGGGGTGTTTTCCAGACTTTGTAAAAATTTATGTTTTTTCTGCTTAGAGTTAATTGAGTTAGTCCATTGTCTTCGTTAATTGTATCACAGGCAGAGGGGAGGGATTGTGTACACTGTATGGGAGTGACTGAATGTAAAATACTGTTTTGATTGGCTTGTTGTTCCTGTGTCCCTGTGCCCCACAAGGTCCACCTGGGTGGTAACCTTGTGGGGAAAACTGTATAAAAGGCAGTGTGCCACAATAAGCACCGGCCGTGCCAGTGTCCGGCGGATTTTCCTCCTCATGGTCTTTATCTTGGATGGTGGTAGAAGGAGTGGTCCTTCCACTGATTTGACGGTGAAACCCAGGAGTTCTAAGGACTGAGAGGGTTCTATGACCAACTTGTCCCAGTTGATGAGGAAGCCAAGGTTGCAGAGTAAATTCCTCGTCCAAGCTAAATGTTGGTGGAGTAAGAGTGGGTCTTGTGCCATGACGAGTATATAGTCCAAGTATATAAACAGACGAACCCCTCTGCTTCGCAGGAGGGCCACCACAGGTCTCATGAGCTTCGTGATGGACCAAGGGGCTGATGAGAGACCGAAGGGCAATCATTGGAAACACCACATGGTTGTCTCCCACCGGAATTCCAGGAAACTTTGGCAGCCTTCAGCCATCGGCACAGTGAGGTGTGACCATCCAATCCCGGAGGGAGTGAATACCTTCTATCTCTTGAAATGGTGGTAAGCGACAAAAGTGTTTAGGGGGAGTAGGTTGATAACCGGCCGGACACCACCCCCTTTCTTGGGAACTATAAATCGTTTGCTTGGAAAGACTGTCTGTTGCGGATGTGTCTCTAAGATTGCGCCTTTTGCGGCCAGAGACTGTATCTCCGCTGCAATTAGGGACCGGTCGTGTGTGGAAAAGACCATTTGGTTGGGGAGAGAACATTGGACGGGGTATTGTACAAAATCTATGGCATAACCCAAAACAGTCTGTAGGACCCAAGAATCTGAAGTTAACATGCACCAGGCATTGACAAAATGGCGTAATCTTCCCCCCTCCAATCATTATGGAAGAAAGGGAGGATGGAAGTGGACTTACCATAAAGACGTCGGTCATAGACTTGCGTTCAGGAGCTTGGTATCGTGAGTGAAAGATGCCTTGAGAAACCCGGTATGAGCCCCAGGAGAAACAGCCAGACAGATGACCCCGGTATCTGCTGGCCCCGCCAAAAACTCTTGGGCAGAATACCTTTCTCATATTGGCTTGCGCCTTATCAGGTGTGGTAAATGTCCCCACATAGGTGCCCAATTCCTTTATAAAAATGTCCCCAAAAAGGAGACATTTTGCCTGTGGCCCAGGCTCAGATATAGCCAAGTTAACTAATTTGGGTTCAATCTTGATAAGAATTACCTTCCGTCTCTCGGTGGCTAGAACCGTATTGGCATTACCGATCAAACATACGGATCGCTGGATCCAACCCCTGATGGCCAGCAAGTCTGCGGGAGTACCACCTGCCAAGGTAGTTTCGACCATGTTGAATATTTTTGCACTGGTCCAAGGACGTCCAGTACTTTGTCTTGACAGTTCCAAAGGGAGAAATTTAGGCCAAAATTGGGCGATCTTAGGTCCACGACGGGTGTGACGCATGCCAAATCTGGAATCGTGGGCCGTGGGCATTCTGCCTGCAGTTTGTTCCATGCTACTTTATCAAGCGATTTCCTGATATGTGCGGCGATATACTTCGCCACATGGTCCAGTGGGAATCACTCTGAAGATCTCGGATGTTGCAAGGTATCCGGATCAAAAAGATGTTCGCCCTGAGAATCAAGGAGGGTGGAGTCATCCACACTGTCCTTAGGGTCATCCCCAGACACCGAGAAAGGCCCATGGTCAGGAAAAAATGTACCTGAGTTGTAAGAGTCCTCATCTTCGGACTCGCTCAATGCCTTCTCCTGTTCCGTCTCTGATTTGGATGATTCTATTAGGGCTTTTGCCCTTTTCCAATTCCTCACCGATTTTGCCCCGGGGGTGCGACCACATCATCTTTGACAGGACGTTCCCTGTCCAATTATGGAGGCGTCCGTGTCTAAATGACGGGGTTTCTTGGCGACTTTACACCAACTGGCAGTCGCCAGCTTACTCTCTGGGAGGTTAGGATAGATGTGGGTAGAGGTCCTTTAGGCGGACATAAGGGCATGGCTGATAGAGTTGGACAAAGTGTCAGACACGGCCCCATAGCCAAATAAATGGCTTGAGTCACTGACTTAGTCATAGTAGCATTCAGGATGGAATGAAGCTCTTCAATTGCTCCTGTGAGGCTTCATCAGTGTAAGTCAGGCTAGGGGGTCTGGGTACAACACCTGGGGCGTAAGGTGCCTAGTGGCACTCCCGGAATCACCATTAGTGGCAGTTCCCAAATCCTTCTGTGCCTGCATAGTAGTAAAAGAATGCACAGAAATATGTACCAGAATACAATAGCCAAAGTGCAGGGAAACAGAAGTACAGCGTAGTTAACTACACAGGCTAAGCAGGGGTGCTACCTGACCAAATTAAAACACACACTACTAACACAACATAAAAATGGCAAAGCTCACCAAGTGTTCCCTCAGAAATAGCTCCTGGGGATCACTGGTGAGCTGCCCAGCCTCACAGCCACCAATCGGCACACACCCGCCCCCAGAACCAGCGAAAAGCCCGGCAAACAACCCGCGGCAAAATTGGCAACCACAATATGGCTGTCGTGATGCGCACTTGTGATGAGCACATGCGCAAGCAACGCCAGCTGCAGCAACAGCCGTGAACCGGCGAGACAAAGAGGAAACTCAGATAGGGAAGAGATAGTACAGGACAGAGAGGAACCTCCGGAAGGGAGGCTGCTAATTGCCCCAGAACATCGGGTTATAAACAACCCGACCGAGGTAGAGTAGGGGAGGGTGTAAGGGAGGGAAAGTAGGACTGAGGGAAAAACACACAAGAGCCAGCAGTGTAACGGATCACCTGGCAACCCGACTGGGTATCTCCATTAATGGATGCTCCTAGCACTTACTGAAGGCTTCAAGCACTCCAGCCGACACCATAACCACCGTAGACTCCTCCAGAGAGCAAGACAGGAACAAGCTCTTACAAGAGCTTAGTAGTGATTTAGCAAGGGAGTATACAGAGCATAGCAATCCCTTGTAGCAGATTCCCCCAATAAGAGACAGCACTCCAAATTGATGGTAAAGTAGTACTGAAGCTTTTAATCAAACACTCTGCTTTTATGCACATTTTACACACATAGTACCGCCTACAGGGTTTTGAAATACAACCAATCAATACGTACAATACACACAGACACTCCCACACAAAATCCTCCCCTCTGCCTGTGATACAATTACCTTACACAATGGGTTAATGTAATTATCACAGGCAGAGAAATACAGTTTTTACACATGTACTATAACTTTAAAAATATACATTTAATCTTCATAAACATGACATATTATTATTCAGCACACTTTAATTATAAACATAGTCAAAATAAACCCTCAGTTTATTCTATTATCACATTGTAATGGGTTGAAATATACATTTAAGCTTCACATGTATTCCTATTCACACAGTCCCATCTCTCTTCTCTCTTTTTCTCACGTGCACTTAGAGGTCCGACAACACACCATCATCGATTAAAGTCATTTTAAATATAATTGATTGATGAATATACTAATGTATGTGTTCTTTTTCAGAATGGACCACTAATAAGATCATTTAATTAACATTAATAGTATTCATCATTTTTTCACTTGCTGTGTTACTAATTATCAAATTATGTATCATTGTATGTTTATTTGTATATTACTTTAAGAATGTATACAACTCCAATGGATGAATATCCTACCCAATATCAATTTAAATTCCATTTGGTCATAATACTACTGCAGCATATTTAATATAAAGGTTGTATGTATGTCTTTATGAATAACATCTGAAACATGTATTTGTATTTTTTCTCTCAAAGAATAAACTATTTCCTATTTCCATCCCAATTATAACTGGTGTAATATGTAAACAAATATATACTACTAACTGTGAACTGTCTAGATGTTAAAATTTGCCAAATGTATTTATTTATTCATCGAACATTTATTTACTTATTTTCTTTATATAGCCTCTTAGACTGTATTAATTTATGTCCAGTATATATTCTTCACTTTTAGGTTCTGTATCTGTATTTATATCGATTTTAATGTTTTATTATACAATCAATTTATGCAGCGATATGTATGTTTCACCATCTAACTCTTTGAATGTAACTGTAATTTATACACTGAATACTTGTATCACTCTGAAAGATTTTTATTGACAATTGAAATATTCTTATTAGCAATTGAGATATTTTCATCAGCAATCAAAGTATTTGGAAGAAACAAAAAGAAAAAATCAGCGCTAAACTGCCGCAGAGAAATGTAGTAAAACGGCTGCACACCTCAAAGGGGAGTCCCCTCTAATCCCCTAACAATGAGATAAAACACAAGAAAACACACAATAGAATAAGGGTGCGCCTAAAACATATAATAAAAAAATATATTACTCTCTGTTTTATGAATAAAAGATTTCTGAGCACTATATTTTATCCTTTTGGTTCTGGGTCGAACAATACCAATATTGGATGCTGAACCTGTGCCAGATATCTGCCAATCAAGTATTACCTCATATATCCTTGAGTGGGGATTATTCCACTTCACGCATGCAATATCAGAGCTGGATTTTAGCTCTGAAAAGTGTGAGTAATACTACTATTACTACCATATAATTTTATTCACCTATATACTATGCCATTGGAGTCCTGTTTTTGTCTTTCTTTTTTTACATATGCTCCACTGAATTCCAAGCATACAACTGCGAAGATTTACTTCATCCTATATCTCAAGAGTCCTCTCTCTACACGTGGATCCTATCATTTCTGACTTATGATAAGTTATTTGGACTACTGATAACCATTCATTTTATATTATATATTTTATCATTATTTTATAACATATATTTTATTATACGTTTTAGGCGCACCCTTTTCTATTGTGTGTTTTCTTGTGTTTAATCAAAGTATTTGTATTTAAAGATAGACTGAAGCATTAGACCACATTCTGTCTCTGAAGAAGTAGGGCTTCACCTACGAAACGCGTAAGACAAGACTAAACAAAGCAGGATACAGATCCATCTAACCAGCAGAAGATCAGTCCACACAAAGAACCCTTGGTAAACCTATCTACCGAAATCGTCCGTTCTATCCGTCCCCCGGAGTGAAATCCTGTTGGGACGGACACACAGACGCACGCCGTCCTCACCGGCAGTTGCATTCAGGAGGCGAGTTTGCACAACTCAATCTACATCCATCCTAAGTTGATCCGAGGGTTCACACCATCACTTGATCCTCATAAGACTGGTAATACCATCATGAACTGTTCCTGATCTGGATTTTATGGATTTTTACAGATATTTTTTTATTGTTTAATAAACTGGTTTTTATATTTCATCCAGTTTTTGCAATTAACGTCAGTCTATTTCGATACATTTATTGCTTAAAGCAAACAGTTCCATATACTGTGTTGCTATTTCAATAATATACTTTTGCTGATACAAAGTATATTATTCAGTGAAAGTTATCATTTACCCTGCACCCTTCAGGGATAGAGACACCGACACTGGACATTCAGCCATTGCAAACCGATTCAATAGTTCTCTTATTCTTACACTATTACTTTTTCCATTTCTGTGTCAATATTTTACCATCTTTCTACCTTCACTCTGATTTCTACCAGTTTTATTTTCTATTTCTGATTTGTATTTTCTATCTATATAACTCTAGCTTCTAGCTCACATTTCTTAAAGGCACAGTAATTAATTTTTACATCCACTTATATCTTCTTTTTATTTTTTATATATATTTGCAATATTCCAGTCTCTGCAGATCCCATGTGATTTTTTTTACTGTCCCATCAAGCCATTATCACGAGTCAGCTCCTGGTTCTCACGCACTATCTCTTAGAGTGTTGTTTTCTTGTTAATGTCTATAGGTTTTTGTGACTCCCTATTTGTTTCCAGTGTGAGTGACTCCATGTTAGTTAGACTCCCTCTTCTCTGTGCATACATTAGGTATACCAGAACCCTCTAATTTTATAGTCAAAATTCAGCCAATTCCACCCAGGGGTTAAAAAGTTAGCTGGGAGTCCTTTATGACCGACCGCAAGCACATTTTCATGCCCAAAACAGTTCCAGAGAATGAGGCTGTGCGGTCGGTCTATTTCCCATGTTAAAGTCAGTTCAAACAGATGAACAACAACCATTCGAATTGTCGAACTGTCGAATGAACTGTCGAATGAACTGTCCAATGCAGTAGTTCCAGGGAAGGTAAAACTTCAGCGGTGTTCGTGCCGTTCTGTAGCCGATTTTAGTTCCATGAATTTGACGGCACACACCGCTGACTGCATTCGAATGAATCAAAATGGCTCCTGCCACGTGTTCAGTTTTCTAATGGCGCCCACTTCGACTACTTCGGCACTTCGGCTGCATCCGAAGTGCCGTGCTAAAACTGCAGGTCCTTTCCCAAAGTATTTAAAGGGCCAGAAACAGCACAATAAAATACAATATGCCCAAATACTGTATTTAAAGGGCCTGATCTTCCAGGGACCATAATCACATGGCAAGGCACAAGTGGCGAGATCGGTTTCGCCACAAGCAGTGCTCTCAATTCTAAACAGTAGCAAGCCAAAGGGAGAACAACGCACTTGATAAACAGTATGGAGAAAAAACACATTACACCAAAATAACTGGTATATGACAGAGAGAAATTGAATTGTACTTAGCTGAGGAGGCAGCAGCAAAGAAAGAGGAGTGGCTTAGGTCACATGGGGGTTTATGATACAAAGAGCATTCTTACTGGATGTCTTGTTGTGTGTTAACCCTTTCAGGGTATATGGCAAAGTTTTTTTCCCTGACTATGACAGTATCCTTTCTTTGCGGCTGAGGAATAAAGAAAGAGATTAAGCAGAATACTCGCCGTGTCCTTTAATAAAATTAAGTTACCGTAAATTGACTCAATTATCTCCCAGACACAGGGACGTCTGGGAGGGGTTTGTAATACTTTGTATGAGGACCCCATGCTGGGGGTCTGTGTATAAATTGAGAGTGTTTTGCCTGAATAAACCAGATGACTCCCAGAATTGTGTCTCGTCTACTTACTGGGGGAATAAGAGTTCCAGTCTGGCAGTCTGGGAAATTAGCGGAGGTAACTAGCCGCGTTACCCGGAGTCCGCTACAGGTGATTAATAAGAACTGACGCATTCACATTCACATCAGTTTACATATAATACCAACACTCCAAAAAGTACAGAAAATAGTCCTAGTAGATTTAAATTTCAGTTGTTACCTAAAAATATCAAAACATAAAAAAGTTAGTATTCACTAAAGTGAGAATTCAAAGTGAATGTCCTATTTAAGGTCAAAATATCCAATACGGAAACATTCTCTAAGCCAGCCATGCTTTCAGTGCGACTACTCTGGCCTGAAATTAGAAATCCACTTTGAATTCTCCCTTTTAGTAAGTCACTCTGTACGAGAGGACTGCAGGAGTTAACACAGCGTCCCGCAGGCAGCACATAAAGTGTTCATGGGATGGGCAGGGCACTGGCCAAACAAGCGCGATACACCCTGACCTGGATAGCGCCTGCAGCCAGGGGACTGTGACCGGGTCAGCTGTGCGTGCCTGCCAGATACACAGGGTCTGAGCACAACACAGAGGATTTCCCAGAAAGCATCACACAGCTTGGTGCCCAGCCTGAGTAAAGTCCTGCCTGGAGCACAGTATGTAGGTAATATAGGGAGCCGCCGTGCCTTCGCTACCACCAATATCAAACCTCAGGCTCTGGGCCACTTCCTGGACTAAGCAGCCCTAGAAAGACTTTCATTAACCCTTTACTGCAAAACCCCTGCATGCCCCTAATCAGCCATGTCCTGGCATCCCGGAGGCAGGCAAGATGCTCTGTATCTCTGGAGAACTTTCTCTATTCCTGGCACGGATCTGGTATTTCCTGGAGTTACTGACAGATCACTGCATTAATACCCTACAGTGCCCAGAGGCGACTGCTATAGCTGGCGTGTGGGAAACCGGGCTGATCTTTCGCTGACCCTGGAAACAAGCCAATATACGTCAGCAGATAAAGGAGATGTTTTCTGGATTACAATCTGTTCCAAAGAATACCAACATAAAAAGCTTGTGAGACAACGGCGTTAAATGTCATCAATGCCAGCTTGGACGGGCAAGCTATACTCCCCAGGTCTGACACGTCTCATTTCCTGGGTTTCTGTTACAGTAAAACAAAGGTCTTTTACTGGCTGGGGAAGGAATAGAATTGTTTACAAGAATACTCAAAATCTCCTTTAAAGGAACACACCAGGCACCATAACTACTGCAGCAGCCTGTAAGAGTTGCCCCCATTGTTAATCATCAAACCATTTAATAATGGTTTCACTTCTTACCTGGGGCCTGCCAGGCTCACCTGGCAAAATAACTGCAGCAGCGCACTGAAGTGGTTATAGTGCTTGGATTGTTGCTTTAAACCTCCATTCTGGCTCCTGCTCTTTGGGCTTAAGTTTGGAAAAGGTAATTTTTCAGTCACGCAGAGTGGCGGCTCAGTGAATTCGCCCCATAATTCATGTCCAGAGAGGTGACAAATTTGGATCTTGGAAACTGATGTGGTTATTATACCGGAGATTAGGCTCGAAGCCTGGGCCTGAAAGCCAAATATTTGAGGTTGGAAAGGTCACGGGATGACTTTTAAACAATGGAACCCTGCAATTAAAAGGGACTGTTAAAGGGCAATGTCTGTTCAGTATGCTTGGCACTGTGTGCTACATAGAAACTCCAACTCACACTGCGGGAAGAGCGACTGCTTCTAGTACCGGACCATTTACACAGAACACAGGGCGATTTAATATGCAGAGCAGTAAATGAATAAAGTACTCTATTTATTCCTCTGTAGATTGGAAATCCCACGGGCTCGGTCTATAACACAGTGCGTCTCCCTACAGCCACGGACAGCGCTCGGTTTGCCCATTAACCAGCAGCCAGTGAGCTATGAGTATTTAGAATATGGTCTTTGTACGCTGAACACGTGTACTAAAGTATTCTGATTTTGGTATTTGACTAGTAAACCCCCACTACGCTCTGTCCTCTAGAAGGGAAACAATTAGGTTTATTCTGTACATTCCTAATGGCCGGAACTGAATGGGGCAAAACCATCTGGCTGCAGAATCCAGGCATTGGTGATGGAATGGACCAATGACATGAGGTTTGTAAATCAGGCCCCGAACGGGCCTGAAGTTGGTTTGCGTTTCATCCAGACAGCTGAAATCCAGGATGAATGCAGCAATCCAGGCTTGGAGAATTCAACTCCGGCCTAAACTTAAAAAAACAAAAAAAAAAAAACAAACGAGATCTCTGCTGGCAGAAGGAGATATTGTACTCTAACGAGATATTGACTGCAGAGGCATGATCTATACATCAAAACCACATCAGTTTCGCCATCTATAGAGTCATTTTAATGCATGGAGTGCCAGGACAATGTTTACAGTAAATCTGATAATAGACCAGGAATGTCAAGTCAGGGAGAGAAAAAGAGTAAAAGACGACAAAAGTTGCCGCTACGCTTGTTTTTATGTTTCTCTTAATTAACTGGGACTCATTCATTTAGTTAGCATTAGTGAATTTCCTGTTTAGTGAATAATCTAGTTCATGCCCTAGTACCCACTTTTGTATCTGCACACAGTTTTACAATCCTTGCTGTGCCAGTGCAGCCCCAACCAGACCCCATCCCCTCCAGAAGACTTTTAGAAAGTATTTGTTTAGCTCTGGCCACAGACCGCTGCCATGTCTTTGTGGCCTCCTCGGTATGTGGCAGTAAATCCCACCAGGAAGCAGTAAGTGTCCCATTGGATGTATTCCAGATTGAACCCTCTGGCCCACAGCACAGATTCTTTGCACCCATGAGGAGATGACCAGACCCAGTCCTTTAATACCGGCCCAATGTTGGCCATTAGTGAGAATTCTTATACGTAAACAAAGTGCCATAGTGGAGTGAATGCAATGCAGTAAGACAGACACACTATGTGTCACACTAACACATGTAGTAAACAATGAAACTGGGTGAAGAAATGAAATGGATGTTTGATTTAAACACTGACCCCAAATGGTCTCAATATTGATATAGCATCTTATCCATTAAGGTTCAGAAAATATTTAACTTATTTTATATTGAAGGTATATTTTTACTATTTATAGACTAATGTTTGTTCCTTCCCTAAATTTCTATTATATATGCACTTATAGAATTACTTAAGATTTTAGTAACGAATCTTTATCTTTGGATCCTGGGTAATCTGATTAAGATATCCTGAATATCTTCCCTATACAATGTTTTATTAGTAGATGTGGACCCTTTATTAGTGGTTTATAGGTGGATTTTTGAAAATTAACAGTTGCCTTTTTCAAGGAATAATTGTATGAAACATGAGATCGGTCAATACCAACTATGTCTGATTATAGTTGGCTAGATTCAGAATTAAGATGGCAGCCACGAGATGCACCTGTGACATCATTTAGGAAAGATGAGAGATTATTCCCAGCTGGGGAAATTGAGAGAAAGGCAGACCCAGAAGTAGTTAAACTGAGTGAAAGTGACACCACTTTGATTTAAGAGAACAAAACACAGTAACAAGTCAGATGCACTTTGAGAAAAACCCAAAACGGGATAAGATTGTTTTTGTGATTCTCTTCAAATCTTTTATTTTATTGGGTTTTATTCTGGATTTTTGCCACTAAGAGTGGAGAGAGTTGGATCCAGACTGAGGGATTCTTACAGCGGAGTTTGTTTTACCTTCTATTTAAACCTTGATGTACTACACCATGTACTTTGTATTTTACAGATTCAAGTCTATTTTGTAACAGTATTACCTTATTGGTATATTTTACAAATTTAAATCTATTTTTTAACAGTATTTCCCCCCCCCCCCCCATGCACTGTTTTTATGGTTTACCAGTGATCATTCAGGCAGGAGAATGAGGGGTAGCAGGGCATAGAAGCTGCTACACCAACTAGTCCATTGAGACTGTTTCAGACCCAAATCCAGGGGTTTAATCTCAGTCTGACTGGAACAGATTCTTCCATGACACCCCTGAGTATTCTAGATTGCTTGACACAAGTCATGGCACAGCCCACTACCAGGCCTGATATGCCACTGCCTGGAGTTTGAGGTCTAGGTAGTGCCAAGGTAGCTTTGTTGGAGTCAAACCGGTGGCACAGCCTACAGCAAACAAGCACTCACAGCCAAGATCAAACTGTTTGTTTTTCCACTGCAGAGTATGTGACTACTGATAGTTGGCCGGGCTCCAGGGTCACTATAGGGCATCTGGCATTAAAGTCCCATAACCCACACAATACACATCATAACCAGAGTGTGTACAGCAGCCGTGGGGCTTTTACAGTCATGGAAATCTCTTTAAGGCCAGACATTCTCCATACGGATTGTCATTACAAAGACAACCTGCTAACAGACTGGCATGTATGTTAAAATACCTTATTTCACAGTCACTTTAACCAGCAAGAGAGACATTTTACCCCAGAGAAAACCCCATGTTTGAGTGACACTCCCAAAACCTGTACCCCAACATTAACAGGACGCACAGAAGACACCAGACAGTATGTTTTGGTTAAGGGTTTATTTTGATCTTTTAGCACCAGAATACAAGTCTAATGTCGAGCTGGAGACATAAACCCATCGATAGCTGAACTGCTGGGCAATAGCTAGTAACCCTTTAATGCACAGTTTGTGACCCCTGTTTGGACTACTGCAAGCACCCAAAATGTCAGCTAGGAATTGGTCCCATGACAGCAGAAGCCCGCGCACTCCAAGCTGTGCTTTGGGTGAATTTGAGGCAAAGCTGACCAAAATGGGAGCATTACCTTAAGTCACCACAACTCCCAATAATGGAGAGGGAGTTTAGTTTTAGTTCTTAAAGGGTCAGAGAGCCAGCTGCGTCAGAACTACAACACCCATGTTTCTTTAAGAGCTACAACGCTGACAATGCACCATGGGAAATGTAGTTCTGAAAACTGGGTGTACCTCCTCTCCAAAACCTGGTGTTTAGAGAACATAGTCCCAGAGTGGAATGTCACCCTAATTTAGAGCCGGCAGCTCTCTATGGAGCCACAGATACTAAGCCAGCATGACATTTCAAGGGGAGACTGACGATGGCAATGTGAGTGGTCCTTAAGGGGGGGGTTAAACTGGAAGCTTCCAGGGGCTTTGCACTGGCTGAGGAAAGTGTTTAAACAGCAGAGTAGGCACTGGTGGAGGGGTTTAAACAGGCAGCAATATCCCTGAGTGGATTGTGGCCAACAATTTTACAGACCATTTCATTGCCACAGGGCTATACAGGATCAGGAGTGTTCATACAGAAGCTATTCAACATCTTAAGCGTAAATATTAAGGCACATCGGTAGGCACCCCCTCCAGTTAACTAACCCATGGCATGACTGAGGGCATGGGGCACAGGCCTTGTGTTGCCACTAAACCCCCATATGTGGGGTGTTAAATTCATATATAAAGCTGCAGTTAGCAGGATTAACCCTTGTTGCCAGCAACTGAGATATGCATGGCCAAGTCACATTGCTTGCCAGCATTTAATCTGTTAATGGATTCAGGACTTCCCCAGAACTATGGAGTTAAACCTGCAAGCGTGGCAGAGACAGGAACACTCCAATATTGAAACCTGCAGCACAGGGTGGGGGCTGTCTCTGAACAAGCCATGGATTAAATAAAAAAGGACGCCTCACTGCATCTGGGAGCAGACAGTTACAGCAATAAACCCACATCAGAACAAACATTTCCAAATAGAAAAAAAAAAAAAAAATCCAATCTTGATCTTTACATTCAAAACGTCAACATAAATATTGTGTTGGTCGATTCAATCCACATTGACTGTCCGATACATAGAGAAAAGGAACACCCGCTCACCACACACAAAATTAACACTTTCCAATCTTTATCCCGTTTCTGTATTCTGAGATAAAAAGGAAAAAAGAAAAATTCACATTTTTGTATTTTTAGTCATAGTATTTGTTTTGGTTTTTCTTTTTAAAGTTTTTTTTTTATTTTTTTCATCTTTAAAGGTCAATAAAGGACCACGTAGCAATAGTTTGTACCCATGTTGAAGCGGGGAAGAGGCCAGGCAGTGAGTTTATATATTCCACAGCTGGGGCCCACATCTTAACTGAGTTGTGAGATTCATTAAAAAAAATAAAAAAAAAAAAAATTTATTATTTCACCTCAAAATGCAAGCTGCCCTGCAGACTGCGTTCACTCACAATAAATCCCATTTATGCCCTTCACTCAGTGTGGACAGACACTTCAGCCATGAAGTAGTCAGCCCATAGAAGCTCCCCAGACACTGAGGACACTGCCAAGAGCCACACTTCAAAGGGGGGGGGGGGCAGTAGTTTGGAGAAAACCCCTAAACAATGAATCTTGGAGCAGGGTTCACCCTTTTCCAATAAGATGCTCAAAGATATGACCCAAGAGTCAAACCAGCGTCCTCAGGACTCCTTCCTGAGCATTGTCCCAGAGAGCATTAGGAGAGGTGGTGTCTAACTACATGGCAGCCACGTTGGGTAGGACACTGGCGAGTTGGCAATGTAGTAGTTACTGAAGTTGGGGTCGCTGACATATGGTGCCGGTTGGTAGTAACAGGTGACGTTGGTAGCGTTTGGTATGATGTTTTGCTCAGCAAGCACCCGGAGAGCCAACAGTGATATTAGGTTCAGAGTCTGTCTGCGCTCATGGCCCATAAGGCACACTGTGCTTTCATTGACCACCTTGCGCAGGATCATTAAGTAGTCATATTTGCTTTTCTCCTCGCCAATGAAGTGATTCTGAAGATAGGATTCCAGCTTTCGCTGCTGCTCAAAAATGTCTGAGAAGTCAATGAAGAACCGGGAGCACATGTAGCGTTCCAGAGATTTGATCTGCTCTTTGTCTGCAGGTTTAAAGTCCCGGACTAGAAGGTTGCTGTATTTCATTAGTCCTCCACCCCTGATCTCCTCTGGGTTTTTGGTAGCAATAAGCTTATGGCGGAGGTGCTCGAACGCAGCTTCAAAATCCCCGTACATGCTTTCTCCAATCACAGTTGGGTGGAAGTGTTCAGACATTGGGTTTTCTGAGCAGTCGTGGTAAAACAGCAGAGAGTCCAGGATAATCTGGAAGGAGTCCACGCTGAACTCGAACTGGCGGCGGATAGAATTCACAAACTTGAGCTCAATGTTTCTCCCATCTTTGTTTGACAGAGAGATTAGACTCCACCGGTCTGTGTCAGTAAAGACCTTAACCAGCTTTTGAACATATGCCTCTTTGAGGGTCACAGGGCTGATTTTCTCTTTGTTTACCCCAGCAGGCAAGAAGTTCAACAGTGACCCGATCACTACATCCTTAACGCGCTGAAATTCTGCCTCAGAAGACAAAGTCACACCAAAGATTAGGTCCAGATCTTTGTAACCAAGGCCATTGTCTTTAACCAAGACATGACTTGCTGCAGAGCCGTTGAGTCGAACATCGCGCACTTTGACTCCCACCTCATCCAGCTTGCTGCGCACAGTCTGTACAATGTCCTTCAGTGTGATCTTTAAGGTAGGGAAGTTGCCACGTCCGTGTATTGGGACCACCTCAGTGAGGAAGCTGTTCAGACGGCTGACTTGTTCCCAGGTCAGGACGCTGCACGACTTGGAAGAGCAGTCTCTGTTGGTTTCTTTGTCTGCCATGTCAAGGGCTGGAGACGGAGGATCAGCTGCGGAAGAGGAGATCAGTGTTAGATACATGAAGAATTTACTATGCATTCTAGATCACAACCAAAACACTAAATTGTGGTTTGCAAAATCATAAGAGTTGCAGTTCTATTTCATCTGAAGTCTTTCTAGCCACCCATCTCATGTACAGCAGTTACTGGATCCACTTGCTGTGCAGAAAGAAGGGATACAGATTCAGAAAGTGAGTAACAGCTGTAGGAGCAACAGAAGAGAAACTCAGAAGAGTCAAAGTCCCTTCCTAGAGTCTACAGACAGTTCTGTTAGTTTACAGTTACATGACTAATAGACCGTACAGGAACCAGTACGCTGGATGCCACCTACACACAGTAGCACACCAATTAATAGCTCACCTGCCAAGAGGAGAGAGAGAATGCCCAACTATAGAAAGCTTGTTTCAGGAGAATGGCTAGAGTAACACTAGAAGTGGTTTGTAGATTGGGACTCAAACCTCCAGGGAGCAGAGGCTGCTGTGAAGTTTAATGTTACGCACCGACAGACCTCATTATTAGGCCTGATATGGAGGGTAGTGTGATAGCTGGATTTACACCTGTAAATTATTGCACTTTATTCCTAGCCCATAAAATAAATAGACTCTGCTTATATTGTTAGAGTGGCTTCAGAATGATGGCACGAGGCTACCGTCTCTACAGACCGTGCGGATCATGTTAAGGTGAAATTCTTATCAAAACTAAGCAAATATTTACAGTCCATTTAGGAGAGGGACAGCACAAACAATGCAAGTATCTCAGCAAACAGACTAAACCTTCCTGGCCTGGAATCGCAGCACAAACATGGAACATTTTAACTGTACGGCAGCCGTCCCAGGGGCCCACGTCCTTCCAGGTAAAATATTTATAAAGAAAACCCGCTTCACCTTAAAGGAACACAGCAGCAAGCCAAAGTGCTCTGCATGTGGAGCCTCGCAATAACTTATAGAAGTTCATTGAGAAGTCATAACTGTATGTGCATTAGGATCCAGCCGCTTAGTGAGCCACTGATTGGTGTATTCCCTGGCACAAACAGTCAGAGAAAGACGAGAGCCATGAAATCTGCAGCTTTTAACAGTGTTCTTCCACCCCTCCCCCCCCCCTTTCCCCAATTAAAGGTATATTCCCACGTCTACTAGAACACAGTCTGTACAGAAAGTCTCCTATAGGTTTCTTTTTTCACTTTTTTGTGCCATTTATTAGGAGGTAACTGAATGGGAGTGGTGTCCACCCATTAGTTATGAGTGAATGCACCCTCATTATCCTGCTTTGTTTTGTGTATTGAGGTTATATATCTGTTACCCCCAGTAACCATTTAGGTTAGTTACTGGTTAATCCAACACCATAACCTTTTGTTTTCAAGTTTAATACTCAGCTAACTTGGTGTATCTGAAAACTGGCAAATGGAACTGATTCTGTAGGGCAATGTGGGCATATTGTGTGCCAACATCACCATTCCCTCCCAGTGGGCAGTGCTGTGACTTACTGAATCTCACTGGGCTGGATATAAGTGTACATGTGGTGTGGGAGCCCGGTATAGGAGACTTGCTGTACAGACTGTTCTAGTAGATGTGGGAGCCCGGTATAGGAGACTTGCTGTACAGACTGTTCTAGTAGATGTGGGAGCCCGGTATAGGAGACTGGCTGTACAGACTGTGTTCTAGTAGATGTGGGAGCCCGGTATAGGAGACTGGCTGTACAGACTGTTCTAGTAGATGTGGGAGCCCGGTATAGGAGACTTGCTGTACAGACTGTTCTAGTAGATGTGGGAGCCTGGTATAGGAGTAGTCTTAGGGCTTAATTTGGCTTTAATCTGATCCTTCTTGAGAGGATCCTATACTGATATTTGCTGGCGATATTTATTCGACCTGTATTCAGGTCCATTTAGGGACCCAGTGTTTTGTTCACTGTTCTTCACTTCTTTCTAATTATTATTTAGTTTACATATACACAGGTGTTTTGTTCTCTTTGATCAATAAAGGTTTCTTTTTTACTTTGTGCCATTTATTAGGAGGTAACTGAATGGGAGTGGTGTCCACCCATTAGTTATGAGTGAATGCACCCTCATTCTCCTGCTTTGTTTAGCGGAGTATTACCCTTGGGAGGTCATAGTTCATAGGGAATCAAACCGTGTTTGATAGACTAAAAAAAACAAACAAGTTAATATTCCCCCAAGGCTGGCAGTGCCAGTTGGCAAAGCTCTGCAAGACTCCCAGCAGATGTCCCAGGCTGCCAGGACATGGCATTTCTCCAAGTGCTGCTTGCTGAGGGCACCCTCATACCTAGCTGTACCCCCAGGCCAAGCACAGCTTCAGCCAAGTCATGTTAATGCTGGCTTGTATTTTGTGAGAGACAAGTCTGCACATGCAGTAATCAGCAGCCGAGTGAACACCCAGGGGAGGGAGCAACACCTGCCGGCATGGAGTCCGCTATCTAACAAGACACTGTCTGACATTTATACCACAATGACTGTTCTGTCCATAGCTGGCACATTCTACAGCAGCCATAAGCCACACACCACCTTCTGCCCCAGCACCCTCCATTACATAGTGTATTAGCCACCAATACTGCCATCATAACATCTTCCCAGCTCGACAACTCAACAAGCTTTATAAAGAGTTATGTAGCCATTGTGCCACCAGGAACCATCATTTTGCATCACTGCCCACTTTATAACAGACCGGTACTGAGCTAGCACTGACTGGAAAGACCCAATGCCTGGTTCTGGATATCAGCTGGTATGGGGAGTTTAGGATTTTATTGCCCAAAGCAGCCCTGCACCATCAGTATGTTACATAAAGTCAGGGTTTACACCAATAGCACCCCCACTGCAGGAACACCTGCTCCCCTCCCCCCCACAGGTCCATGCACTCCTGCGCCTCCACGCATAGATAGAAAACATGGCTTATTGGCCATTTAATGCCATTTTCCATATAGTACCATGGCTGAAACAGAAACTGGAAGTGGCAGGAGTCACTGCCACTCTGTACAGCCCTGGGTCAGTGACCGAATGCCATGGCTGCCAGTTTGCCATATGCAACGTGTGGCACGTCCAGCAGTGGTCACACCACAGACCAAGTGTGCCAAGAGCACAAGGTGGACATCTCCAGGATTAAAGCATACTATACTGCAAAGCATTATGGGAGTGGGTATGGTGGCACAGATTATATGCAACATGAAGCTTAGACTGCCCCTAAAATACCACACATGGGGGCCGGCAAGGGGGTACATTACAGCGAGGCCAGCAGAACAGACGTGGAATACAAGTCCAGAATGGAGGTAACATGGCAGTCCTGGTATCAGTTTACAGTCTGCCAGGCGATGTCAGCTTGCAGGCCAGCGTCACACAACAGGTTCAGAGTATTTGAGAGTCCAGGAGCAACTTACACCATATCCCACATGTACGGTGCCTAATTACCAGAAAGTGGCAGAACCCCTAAACTATCTGCTAGTGCCCGCAGCGTTAATCTGAACATCGCTACAAGCAAGCCAGTAACAGCTTGCACTCTGATATCCCAGGGAGCTTGCACTCTAAAGAGTATGAAGGCCCAAGAACACCCAGAATTCATTATGGCACATGGTTTACAGAGGGGCAGAGAGACTGGTCTGTGCCCCCAATGCCAACTTTGGCATGATTGCACTTCATAAAAAGCACTAAGCTGCCCACAGTCTAAAAGTTTTATTAAACTTCCCCACAGTCAATACCCCCTCCCCCAGCATGGGGCATTATAGGGCTGAGTGTGCTGACATTCTGCAGTACCCAGTGACGTCCAATATCAGCATTTCACACTGAGGAAACAATGCTAAATATAGGAGACATTTAAGCCAGGAACCGGCCAAGCTAATAAGGACAGATTGCAGACGTGTAACCTGCACCGGCCTGGCCAACAGCCAACATTAACCCCTTGAAGGGCAGCACTCATAACCCACCGCCCTGGACAAACAGAGGGTTAACTGCACACAGCCTGCCAGGGAGGGAGCTCAGCGCAAGCACACTGTCAGCACAGAGCTTTCCTACAACTTCAGGATATTAAAGCAGTCATGGCACAATGTGGGCAGTTAGAACGTCCCAGCCCTAACCACAAGCAGCTCCAATAAAAAGGTTATTATCTACCTGGGCAGGTTAGAGAGCTGCGGGGTCACAGCCATAAAATGAGAAAGTCTAAGATGATTACCAAATGAATGCTGCACAGAATGGGAAGTGGTAATAAAAATATAAGTGAAAACCTGCAAACTGGGTAGTTTAACAGAGTAGTAGAACCAGGATCTGCCTGCAGTGGGTACCAACATGTATTACCCTCTGCCAGTGCAGACAGACTCAAAAAGAGCTAGCACTTCACAGCTAGACTATACAGTGTCCTTGGCAGAGGATCTCACTGCGTGATTAAACATGGACGAGCTAAAGCACTGACAGTCTGGAACATGGGTTCTCCAGTTCTGGGAAAATCTCATCTGTCATATTAAACGGAATCTGCCCTGGACTTAAAGGTTACCCCATTACTGCCTCATTAGGGAAGCCATCTGAGCTACACATGGCAGAAACGCACATCAAGTACCATGAATGGTGCCACTCTAAAAAACAGCATTGCATGGGTTATCAGGACTGGTGCAAGACTCCAGAACTGGCAGCGGTCCAGAGAGGTGATTATCCAGCCAGTGTGACCAGGCAGGGCGGACTGACCAGATAAAGTTAGTTACTGCCAGGACTAGAAGATACGTATACCAAAAATCAAGCAACTACAATGCAAAAAAAAAAAAAAAAAAAAGTCTAATATATTAAAATGCAATATTTATTAAAGGTATATATTGTTATAGAAACTCTGCACTATCACTTTATTTTCTCGCCTATATTCTGCAATTCTGATACGAGGATACGCCTGCAATCAATTTGGGTTTGTGAGTGCGTTTTACCAATTTTAATATTATTTTAGACACTGCAATATTGCCCCATGTTTTCCCCTTTATTTTGGTATATGTCTTTTCTATGACTGAGGGCCTGGAGGGGTCCTATTCTACATGCAGATATCTTACCAGGGTAAGTTAGTTTTACTTATTTACCCCCCAATAGGGTGTCTGACACACGTGGTATTATTGCCAGGGCTGCACCATGCCAGTCAGTCCCTGAGGGCCAAGCCAGCTATATTCTAATGGGAGAGCAGCGTTTAGTTCATCCCCTGGGATACATTACATGTGCCAAGGCAAGCGCCTATACTAGCAGCTGGCATGGGGAGTGCAGCCAGAGACACGGATTCTGTACCTTTAATGAAGGCCACATGTTGGGTCCACAGTCTGTGTGCCACCACAACTACCAAGACCATGGACCAAGCAGTCAACCCCAAACCATGGGACCCAATAACCCTCAAATCTATCACTGAGTAGGCGATTTACTGAATACAAACTGCAAGATTTAGCCTAAAACAATGGCAGTGAGTGCCCCCCCCCTCTCCCTCCCAGGGCTGAGTGCAGGCAGTGAGTGTCCCCCCCTCTCCCTCCCAGGGCTGAGTGCAGGCAGTGAGTGTCCCCCTCTCCCTCCCAGGGCTGAGTGCAGGCAGTGAGTGTCCCCTCCCTCCCAGGGCTGTCATAGGGCTGGAGTGCAGGCAGTGAGCGTCCCTCCTCTCCCTCCCAGGGCTGAGGCAGGCAGTGAGTGTCCCCTCCCTCCCAGGGCTATGCAGGCAGTGAGTGTCCCTCTCTCCTCAGGGCTGAGTGCAGGCAGTGAAACCCAGGGCTGAGTGCAGGCAGTGTCCCTCAGGGCTGAGTGCAAGCAGGAGTGTCCCCTCCTCAGGGCTGGAGTGCAGTGAGTGTCCCCCCTCCTCAGGGCTGAGTGCAGCAGTGAGTGTCCCCCCCCCCCTCTCAGGGCTGAGTGCAGGCAGTGAGTGTCCCCTGCCCCTCTCAGGGCTGAGTGCAGGCAGTGAGTGTCCCTCTCCCTCTCAGGGCTGAGTGCAGGCAGTGAGTGTCCCTCCCTCCTCAGGGCTGAGTGCAGGCAGTGCGTCCCCTGCCCCTCAGGGCTGTGAGTGCAGCAGTGAGTGTCCCCCGCCCTCCTCAGGGCTGCAGGCAGGTGAGTGTCCCTCTCCCTCCCTCAGGGCTGAGTGCAGGCAGTGAGTGTCCCCCTCTCTCCCTCAGGGCTGAGTGCAGGCAGTGAGTGTGTCCCCCTCTCAGGGCTGAGTGCAGGCAGTGAGTGCCCCCGCCCTCCCAGGGCTGAGTGCAGGCAGTGAGTGTCCCTCTCCTCCTCAGGGCTGAGTGCAGGCAGTGAGTGTGTCCCTCTCAGGGCTGAGTGCAGGCAGTGAGTGTCCCCCTCCTCTCAGGGCTGAGTGCAGGCAGTGAGTGTCCCCTCTCCCTCTCAGGGCTGAGTGCAGGCAGTGAGTGTCCCCTCTCCCTCTCAGGGCTGAGTGCAGGCAGTGAGTGTCCCCTCTCCCTCTCAGGGCTGAGTGCAGGCAGTGAGTGTCCCCCTCTCCCCCCTCTCAGGGCTGAGTGCAGGCAGTGAGTGTGGTCTGTCGGTAAGGTGCTGAGTGTCACTCACCTGGCTGAGTGCAGGCAGTGAGTTGGAGTGCTGTTCTCCCTCTGACTGACAGGCTGAGCTCCCGGCAGCCGGTTTATATAGCCCACAGACAGCGCACTCAGTGTGATCCCTCCGCCGAGCCTCACTCCCCTCTCTGGCTCCCACTGACACCGGGCTCCGGGCTCCGGGACCCCCCGTGCCATCCCCAGCCCCGCCCCCTCCCGCCCCTTCCGCCAGCTGGCCGGCTCCATCACCGAGTCCGGGGGGCGGAGGGACTACTTTCTGACGGATCACTGCCAGCCCGGTATCCCTGCGCGCGGTTCGCGGAGAGTTCCAGGGGGCGGGATTGGTCCGTGGGATGAATGGTTGCTAAGAGACAGTAAATAATGGGCGTGGTTTATTATTTTGGCAGCCCCTGAGCCCCGCCTCTGCCATAGCTGCCAACTGGCCTACATTTACAGAAAAAGTCCCTGTGGCAAAACTATCCACTCCAGACTGTCTGTCCATTAATGTGATTTAAGGCATTCCCCGGTCTGTGTGCGATGGAACGAGGGCATTCGTATGCCGGCGGCAGGAAAACCACCAGCATTCATACAGCAGTTTCACAAACAGTGAATTTCACACACGGGAGGTCGCGTGGCGCCCATTAAATATCGCAACATTGTATCTTTCGGTAGTTAATGTTCAGGGTGGCCCCCTATCGCATACTGACTACGCGGCGGTCTGCCATCTTGGATCCTTTGTTAGCCCAGCGGTATTTTGTCGTTGAGTGCCTGGAACTAAAATCGGCTACTCAATGGCTACTTTCTGTATTTTATCCCTGTTGGTCTATTCGTGCCTTTGTTGAAAAATGTATATTGAAGTGTATTTCGTGCGGCGTTCGGCTAATTGTGCTGGGATCTTTCACGAAGTATGCGCTCAGACCCCAGCTATCTGCCAAACAGTTATTCAGTATATTAGCAGGAATAATGTTAAAGTTCTGTATTTTTGTGTAAAAAGCCAGTAGGTATTACCCTTTGGTGTAATGTTGTGTTTTTTAGTAACTGTTTGTGACAAACGCTCCTTCCCTCGAACGTTTGCCACAAACTCCTGAAGGAGTGTGGAAACTGGTCTCCTCCCCACCAACTATGGCCCAGGTCGGAGACCCTGTTCGGGAGTTTCCCTGCCCAGTCGCCATTAGTAGCTTTCCCTGTGTGCCCCTGGTTCGGCACTTTCACTTCTCACGCTAGCTCACTTAACGATACTTACCCATGACCGCAATGGAACTAATTTCGTCATGAGGACTTCGTGGATCCCCGGTCACCTCAGCGGGACTTAGCCATGCATATTATGGAAATGTTTTTGGTATAAGGTTTTGAACCAGTTTGCAACCCCCCCAGGACTAGGACACACACGCTACCTGAGAGCCAGGTGGAGCACCCCGTATTGTGGTCGCAGGAGCTCCAGTTGATTGGCAAAAGTACCAAACGCCCTGGAACTATTTGGGCATAGGACCACGTGTGGGCGGGTCAGAACTTTACCACTGTGGCGTTTCCCTTACACTGCATGGATCTGAGAGCTATTTGGACCACGTGGGTGCTCCGATCAGGGCTATTTGGCAATGTGCTATTTATTGCATGGTTTTTTTTATGTTTTCAGGTATTTTTATGTTTTTGTGTTTGCCGCTCTGTTCTTGGGAGATAATTAACTTACAGGTCTTTAACATGGTCATTATCTCCCAGGCACAGAGATTTCTGGGAGAGGATTGTGTTGAATACAATGGAGACCCCCTGCTGGGGTCTGTGCATAAAAGGCAGAGTTTGGTTCATTAAAAGAACTATGTGTCGTTTAGTTACTGAGAGTGGAAGGGGCCATGCAAAAATAAAACAGAAAAGGTGTGAATGGGCAATGAGATCCATCCACAAACGATGCCGACCCTCCAAGTAATGATATATTAAATGACAGGAAAATTCCAAAAGTTCTGAATAATAAGTGAGGTTACATTCCAGTGCAAGACCTTTCACAATAGACAAGGATTAGCGCTCCCAGGACTGTGTGTCATCCAGTCCCTGGGAGGGAATAGAGCTGTTCCAGCTAGGAAGCGATCCTTGGCGGAGGTACCCAGCTGGGGTACAGGGAGCTCCGCTACACTGTGCAAAATAATTCTCATAAAGCAGGTTGTGTACAGTTTACACTGACAGAATGGGATACAGAGGTCTGTGACAGCGATTCTCAATATTCTAAACGTGGAGCATTCCATTGGTTTCCATGGAAATTGCTTCACTTTAAGAAATGAGAATGACTCCATGCGTAAAAGCCCAAAGTCTCTGTTTGTCCGACCCCCAGTGCCATGTCTAATATGTCAAACCATTCAAAAACAGATTGACAGGCTCCTGCATTCTCCTTGATTCCAATTAGCTCCACTGAGTTGAGCAGGGATATCACGGCAGAGCGCGTTCACTCCGCACTATGAATTAATGAGTGCTACGGCACCACTACAGCAGGATACAGTGGTTATGGTGCTTGGCGTGTGTGGGAGTACATGTTCGCTGCTCTGTGAATTTGAAGCAAATTAGCTCATTTTGGAATTTTTGATTTGTGTAATATGAGTTCTGCTAAATTTTTTTTATCTCCATGTGTTATCATTCATTTGTCCCACCAGAGTTGGGGGTGTGCAGCAATGACTTATGGCTGATATTAGTCCTGCACCGACCTATCATATCCACCTGTAGCGGAGCTGCAATATTAAATCCCAATATCTCCGCTGGTACAGAAAGTAATCCAAGAAAAGCGCTGAAAATGAAGGCAATATCCCAAATCCCCCAGTAACCGGACGAAACACAGTTCTGGGAGTCAACTAACGATTTTATTCACAAACTCCAGTATTTATGTGATTCCCCATGCAAGGGGTTTCCTTAGTCACTTTACAGGGGTTGTACAGTAGAGGACTACATAGGGAACTTAACATGCAGGACATTTCTCCCACCATGCACTGCGGTACGAGAGGGATACTCCCTCAAGAATATCTTGTTAAGTGGATTATCTTAACAAGAATATTACTTTATTTGTGCCATTGTACCGAATGACCGTTCGGCAGATAGCTGGGGTCTGAGCACACACTTTGGGAAAGTACCGCTCAGATCCTAGCATAAATAACCGAATGCCGCATGAAATACATTTTACCACCAACTTTTCAGAAAGTCACGAATACATAGGTTGGAAGAAAGTACCGAAAGACCGGCGCTCCCGAATGGCCTGGAAGTCCAGCAGTGTTCGCGCGGTCGAGTAGCCGATTTTAGTTCAAGGAACTCAATGACCAAACACCGCTGGGCTAAAAGGAAATCCAAGATGGCCACCGCCGCGTGGTTGGTAGTCGAACAACAGCCACCCGGGAACTCAATTAGCAGCCGATTGATACAATGTTGCACCCGGGTAATGGGAGCCACACGACCCCCTGTGTGTGGGCTCCCATTTGGTACTTTGTTCGTTTCACGAACAGTATGGAAAGTCACTGTTCGTGAAACTACCATATGAATGATATCGGCTTTCTGCTGTTAGCATACGAATACTCTTTATTACAGGTATAGACGAATACATAAACTAACAGAATTGGACCAGCTTTTCTAGGACAACCTGTAGACATATAATACCATAATCTGAAGTGGCTAGGATTGCCACAACTAATATCCCATATACAGGGATCTAACACTAATATCCCATATACAGGGGTCTAACACTAATATCCCATATACAGGGATCTAACACTAATATCCCATATACAGGGATCTAACACTAATATCCCATATACAGGGGTCTAACACTAATATCCCATATACAGGGGTCTAACACTAATATCCCATATACAGGGGTCTAACACTAATATCCCATATACAGGGGTCTAACACTAATATCCCATATACAGGGATCTAACACTAATATCCCATATACAGGGATCTAACACTAATATCCCATATACAGGGATCTAACACTAATATCCCATATACAGGGCTCTAACACTAATATCCCATATACAGGGGTCTAACACTAATATCCCATATACAGGGGTCTAACACTAATATCCCATATACAGGGGTCTAACACTAATATCCCATATACAGGGGTCTAACACTAATATCCCATATACAGGGGTCTAACACTAATATCCCATATACAGGGATCTAACACTAATATCCCATATACAGGGGTCTAACACTAATATCCCATATACAGGGATCTAACACTAATATCCCATATACAGGGGTCTAACACTAATATCCCATATACAGGGCTCTAACACTAATATCCCATATACAGGGGTCTAACACTAATATCCCATATACAGGGATCTAACACTAATATCCCATATACAGGGGTCTAACACTAATATCCCATATACAGGGGTCTAACACTAATATCCCATATACAGGGGTCTAACACTAATATCCCATATACAGGGGTCTAACACTAATATCCCATATACAGGGCTCTAACACTAATATCCCATATACAGGGCTCTAACACTAATATCCCATATACAGGGGTCTAACACTAATATCCTATATAGAGGGATCTAACACTAATATCCCATATACAGGGG